TTCACGGATGTTTCCGTCTTTTCCTCCTCCCTCCCTCCCTCCCCCCGTTCCGCTGGTTGTCCCGTTGCTCACCCTCTGGCCCTCCCTGAGTGTCTGTCTCTGTTTCTCGGACTCCGTGTGTGCCGGAGGTTTTGTCTCCTCGTCCCCGTTCGCCGTCTCCGTCTCGTTCGGAACCGGGTTCCGTCTTTCCACCCGGGATCCTCTTCACTCGCCACCCCGCGCGCTCTGCCGTGCAACGGAATTGAAGTAGTCGATATCGTCCTGCGGCCTGTCTCGAAATTAAGAGAAAACGACGGACTCGGACCCCTGCTACCCCCAACTCACCCCCTACCCCGTCCCCCTCCTCCATTCGCCGCCGACCAAAGAATTTTTCTTGCTTCCTTTCTCTCTCGACCTTCCCACACCCCTCACCTTCCGGCAATTTCTACCCCACCATCCCTTCTCCCTAGTGGTTGGTCCTTTTTTTCACCCCCCGATACCAGCCTACCGTCGAGAGCGGCATCGTGTCGGGAGGACGAGACCGCGTGTTCCTCTCCGTGGATTTTTACACGCTTCCTCTTCGTCCTGGCCCACGATGCTCCGGATCGAGAAATTTAGTCACATTTTTCTAGAACTTCCACGTCCAAAAAGTGAACGATAAATTGAAAGAAAAATATGGTGGCTCTTAGAAACCCTTCCTATATAATCTTTCTTGAGTTAAATTAATGTTTCTTAGCCAGTATCGGGAATCCTTAATTGCTCGGATATTAAGTACCAGACAAAATGGAAACGAGGGTAATTTATATTAGACCCAAGAGGATCGTGTATCCTTTCAATGTTAACCCCCTCCGCGGGGGTTGACCGGTGTTTTCGACGAGGACCGATTATTATCGGTCGTCTCGGTGCCGTTCAGATACGTAAACACCGGGGGTGAGTTTTCCACGAGGGCGGTTCCGACGATAATTCGTTTGCAATCGATGCGATCGGTCCGGGTTCGGAGTAATGGAAAACGAGCAGCCCGGAATCTGTTTTTCCCCGAGAAATAGAGATTATGCAACGGAACGTACGGCTCGCTTTTATCGGAAGATCGTTGCGTGGACGTTTGTCCAAATATCCGAGTTTTTCCCAGCCTTTTTCCTTTTGTATCGATCGCGAACAACGCACCGAGGGAAAACTGACCAACTTTCTATCAGAATCGTCCATTGGATGCAAAAAAAACTTGCCCAAACTGATTTGGTTCTTCGTTTTTGATTTGTTTTTACAAACAAGATGCTTTTCGCGTTACTAATCCCGATCGTATCGTTTGAATAGAGGAACAACTACCAAGAGAAGGAGGAAGATAGACGGTCGATGAATATGCAGAGGTCGAGAAAGTGACCGAGAGCGTCGCCATTCAAACGATCGCGATCTCCGATGCACGAGGTCCGCTCGAATCGCTCCGCTTTCAAAGATCGCGATCAGAAAAGAGGCCTGTCGTCGACGACCGGCTCTCGAAACGTCCATTCCAATTTTCCAGGGACGGACGCCGCATGTCAACGAGCCGCGTTCCGTTTTTTTTCCTTTTTTTTTTTCTCTAAACACGGCGTAAAAGTGTATCGTTTTTTCCGGCTCTTTCTGGAAAGCATCCGCGCGTACGTGGACGGCGTGTCCAACGACGAGAAAGTGGACAACTAGGCTCGAAACTGCTCGTGTCGACGCACATTGGGACATTTTGAAACGGCCTCGATGGAAACGGTGTAAAGTACGAAAGACCGACCTTCTACCGGAACAATTATCTTTTAGTTCAGCCGTCAATTTGACAAGAATTGGATGTCATATTTAAAATCACAGAATCCAGGAATATTATTTTTTGTTTATCAACATGAAAGATTCAAATAAATCCGTAAATCTAGTGTTACGTTTAAATAGTATTTTTCGTTTGGAAACTGGAAGAGCGGAATTCATAGATGTTACTCGATTCGTTGTGACTTTGATCGAGCCGACGTTACGCGCGGGAGATGTTAATGAAATTTATTAAAAAATAGCGTCGTCGATTAGGTTTGCAAATGGAATTGTCGATTATGGCTAGCGGCCTGAGCTCCTCGCTCGCAATTTCATAAAGCCCGTTCTATGATGGCAGAGGGCTCGGCCGACCCTGCAGGGCTTCCTGCGACGCAGATTAAATGCAGTTCATGTAAAATTCAACGTGACCCGTACACGGCACCGTGGATACTTTCGTTTTCAAAAAGTTCCATTAGCCCCGGGGAATATTTTCGGTTCGGTCGAACGCTCTATTCCAGCGTATCGAGCGAAAAATCGTCGTTGGAACCTCTTGAATAATTTTTTCGAAGTCAAACGAGAACATCCATTAAACCACGAAATTCACCATCGTGCTGTCCAATATAAACTTTCGGGTACCAGAACATCTTTGGCCAAAATGCCTCTTCGAGGGTTGATTTCTTTATTTAATTTACCGGGCGAAGAAGTAAATCAACGATCCGTTATTGTAGGAACCGATTCGTGACAAAAGGCAAGAATTTAAGAAAGAAAATCGCAGAGAAGTCGAGGCAGGAACGTTTTCCCTCGATTTGCAACCCTTTCAGGGCGGCAGCCGGAGGAACCCGGAGACCGAGGGAGGAAAAAACTATCGCCAACGGCCGACGATTTTCTCTAAACACCGCGATATATCGATCCTGGAAGGAATCCTTTCACGGGCACATCGGAGTCCATCCGCGTCTGTCGGTCGGTCCGTCCTTTCGTCCGTTAAATACCGCAGCATCGCGAAATTAAAATATTGATCGAACGGCGTCGCGATGGAGAATACGAATTGCGGTGGATAGAAGAGAAACCCCCGGACGTTTCCGGCGGACGGACGAACCTAGAGGGGCGACGATAGGGGCAGGGAAAATGGAGAAGGAAAAAGATTGCGGTCCGGCCGAAAATTCGAATGTCAATGACTCGTCGAACCGAGCCGCGCCAAGTTACCTCGATATCGAAAGTTCGTCGACTTTTATTCGCTTTGTTTTAAATCCAACAACCTATGGGGAAGAGTCTGCGACCGGAGGCTACGAAACTGTTTCCAGCAACCCCCGATCGTACGATTTTTAATGATATTCCACCCTTGGACTTTCGTTGTCGGGATATCCACCAATCTCTGATTCACTTTATTTTAAAAAATTATTTTTGCGAAACACAATACGATCAGTTCCAAAACAGTTTGATCCATGAGCCCAAGAAACAAAAATTAGAACTGTGCTTTGTCCATTAGACAACTAAACTAAACAATTCAAACGAAGAGAGAGGGAAAAGGTTGATCGCGTCCGATTAATAACGAGACCCAGATTCCACCGGACGAATTAATCGCGAGTACGCGGTTTCATTCGATTAAAGCGTAAATCGATTAACGCTAAGACCAGAAACCGCGGTCTCGAGGACGCCCGGGTAAGTTTTTGCGACAGTTTTAATCGCGAGGATAAGTCTCCGCCGGGTTTCGGGGAAAAGTTACTCGCGGCTAAAGTTTCGATTACACTCGACTGACTGTTTTCTTAGTTCGCCGCGACTTCCGGAGATCCTTCGAGGACCACCGCTTCCTCTTACCGGCGACACTTTATTAAAAGGCCGCGATCGTTCGTTGTTCTTGCTTCCTCCTCGAAATTACGATAAAAGCTCGGAATTCTATCCACGGAACGCTGAATTCCTTGTTTGCGTCGATGAGGAATCCCGGGATGTCCCCGTTCGACCGATTTATAATACTTTTCAAAGCGTAAAAAGGCATTTGAGAAAATTGAATTTAAGGGTTTGGTCCCATAAAGATTATTGTAGGACTATACTTTACGAAATTGCAGCGGTTCATAAATCGTGTCCTATTTTCCAGTTCTATTAGAGAAGTTGTAACCTTTGAGATAAAAAGTAATAATTCCATTTGGAAGATTGGTCCTTTCCTACCGAGGAAGACGAATGATTATCGATCGACAAATATATGCGATATTAATAACACGAGGACAAACGGAAACGAACTGGCCTTTGCCGTATGCTCGAAACGTCGACGGATAAATCTTCGGGTTCTGAATTGCTCTTCCAAGCTAAAAGGAGTTTGACTTTATTCCCGTCGCGATATTGGCTGAAATTTTCGAAAAATTCCTTTGTGGGATGTCGGGCATTTTGCCTGGTTTGTCGATTGTTGAAATTTTAGACAACTCGATTAATTTCCTACGGTTCGTACGGATCGTTCTATTAATAAGCGGGCCGATGGCGATCGTTATAGGACGATTGAGAACTACTGGCTTTAGGTTGAGCGATAGTGCGCGTCACGAGGACGCTTCGCGCCAGAAATAGGCTCAAACCTCATTATTTTTATTCTTAACCATGAAATTAGCGAGCACACCTCCGACCGTTAGACTTTCGTGCAGCCGTCTGACATTTGTTTCGCTGGCTAACGAACGCCTGCCTGCCTCGAACTTTTATCGGAGAACTATCGCGACTCGAACCCCGTTATGGCTGTTCGCCTTCTTTTAAACGATCGAGCCCTGACGTACGAGTCTTTCTTTCCACGACAGGTCCTTTTAAATTTAGAAACGAACCGCTCGCTACACCTAACGACTCCGGCGATCGTTAAACGAACACCGTTCCGACGCCATTTTCGATGCCACCGACGGAAAACCTACACCGATGTTCGACTAAAATAATTAAAACGTAGCCAGAAGGGAATGAAATGTCTTGGTCCGATATTCTGACCTCTCTTTTACCGAAATGCGATTTAAAAACTAAACTATAATACTTAATAATAATAATTACTAAATGCTACGAATTTCTACGGTTCCTATCGTTATTTGTCTCGTTTTCTCGACAAGACTATTAACACTGGTTCTCGTAGATAATTTATCTACATTTTCATGGTGACAAAGTGACCCGAAATATATAATGAAGAAACGAAAACTGTAGAATATATTGCAAGTCTTGTTTTCGAGAGAAAAGTCATCGAAAGTCCGATGTAGCGTCGATATTTAAAAAACAGGGATACGTTTATTGTTAAAATGACTCACCTGGAGTTCCTCCTTGCACTGGCGTTCCTCTTCGAGACTCATCCGCTTCTCGTGCTTCTTGTAGTAACGCCTCTTGGCAGCTTGTAGGTTGAACCACGTGTACGAGAAAGACTTCACGAATGGTAGGAGGGCCTCAATGAATGGATGGAACTCATCCTGCGAGCAAACGATAACAAACTGATTAGCAACGCGTTTCCCGGAACGCTTTCGACCACCACCCTCCCCCCCGGAACGAGATTCGACTACCCCACGCCTCTTCCCTTTGCACGATGTTTACTTCGTTCGCTCCCGAACACGAGAGAACGCAAGAAACGATTTTGCCTCTCAAAACACAATAGAAATAGAAATATTCTTCGATACGATGCTTGTTATTTTGTAATGTGTTTAATGTCAATTATGATTATTAAAATTTGTCACATAGGTTCGACGGTCACTGGTGACCACCGTCGATTCTCTCGTTCTCGAGGGGTGATTTATTTCTTACATCTACTTTCATGCATCGATTGCGTATTAGTTTCATGCAAGCCACTTCGTTTTACCATGCAAAGGAGAAGCTTTCGTTTAACTGTGGAAATCGATCGAAAGAAGCATGCAATTATCGTACACGTATTTAAAGGATATAAAGGATTTAACTTCTCTAAAGTTGCGACTGTTTGGTTTGGCAAAATCAAAAATTCACTTAGATACTAATAAATTATGAAGCGAAGATCGAATTTCCAAAAGTAAAACCCTGGCTCTGAAAGGGCTGTTGCGAACCACCTGTCTGCCCTCTCCGACTCTGGACAACGCAGAAGACCACGAGGACCGAGACGAAAATAAACCGAAACCAATACAACGAACCGAGTCGCACTTTCGACGCGTCGGAATCTCGTTTGGACGTCGAACGATTTCCCCGGGGCGAACCGGAAGAGAAAGGGTCGCGGACGTCGGAAGGAAGCTCGTCCAGGCTCTCTCTTATCGCAGCTTTCGAGTCTCTTCCGGGGCCGAAACGTCGATGAATCCCCCCCTTTCCGGTCGCAGGACGAGAGTAAAAAGAGGAAAATAAAAAAAAAAAAGACCAAGCTCCACCCCCGTTCGTCGATTGTAGGTCGAGGATCGAGCTTTTGCACAATCTCCGAGAAGAATGGATCCTCGTGTCCCTTTGTGAAGCAAATGCGGGTGGCCATAGAGAATCCTCCCCCGTGACGATGGAGTGGGATGTAAACATCATTTTACGGGAGGATCAATTTTCGGGCGTATATCGACGACCCGACTTCTCTATGGAGCACTCTCGCATGAAAATGAGCGCCCGCGGAATATTCATCGTTGGAACAATAACGTACGTGCAGTCTCATCTCCTCCCACACGAACCTAACCCCGTGCAGCCGAGCGAAAGCCGTCGGGTTGTAACGACGTGCTTGATCGACTGGTTAATGACGCGCGAAGGACGCGTTCGAGAATCGAGATACTCTTTCCCGCCCTTCTCCCGACTTTCCCACGGTAAAATGTATCGCGCGAAAAACTGACATAATTAAAGGGACACTCTGCAGAGTACGTTTGAAAGAATCAAATTTTCAAAATGGTGTCCAGGATATCTAGAAATCTGCTTGACCGACTGTTCAAGGTTGTTTATAGAAACCGAGAATAATTTCTTACAATTTTTATTAGAGAGTACTCGATCTCAGTAAACCCTAACTCAAGAGTGATTTTTCTTTGTCCCCGCGATGGCTGTCGAGGCAAACTGTACCGAATTTGCTCGGTAATTTCGTCGAGTCGTCCCCAGGGACCGGCAATTACGATCTCACGGAATAAGCAACGAGTACAAGGAGCCAGGGAAGAGCAACGGCAAAGGGGAGGGTGGAAGAACACGAGGGTGGGCTGTGAACAAGCGTCAAACGACACGAACCATCGAGTATTCGCAAGCACTGCGGCTGCTGTGGCACACTACCGTCTGTCTGTCCCTCCTGCCGTCCGGCTGTCAGAAGCACCGATTCTCGCAGTAACAACCGTCAGGGTCGCAATACTCCTCCGCCACCCTGTCGCAGATTGATCGTGGCCTCATCTGCACCACCGACAGTCTCTCTCTCTATTCCCCTCCCCTCTGTTTCGCCTGGATCAGTCCGACGAACCGACCCGAGTCGGCTCGATCTCCTCCTTTATCGCCTTTCCCGCGCAAAACTCTCCGCCGACCCTTCGATCTATCGATTCTCGATTCTTTCTTCGGGCTCTCGGAGTACAGATTCGCTCAGCTTTCTCCCGTTGACTCTTTTCCTGATGAATTTATCGGCTCCCTCCTTGCGTCCTGCTCGGATCCTAGCTTCCGATCCTTAAACGGTCGATTCTGTTGCGAGAAAACGGATCCCGATTTGACGATTTATCGATTTCGTTGAGAAACTTGATCGTGGCTCGCGAAAGGAAAACGTCTTTCGAAAAAGTTTCGTTTGTTCTACAACACCACCCCTTTAACTGAAACTCAGTGTAAACAAATTTGTTTTATGCCTTTCCAGCGGTGCACAAGTATTCTTCTATTCTAGCCAGAATAGAGAAGATTACGAGTTTCCACGTACTCGTATTTTAACCCTCGAACGTCTTAGCGGGTCCATTTAAATCCAAATCTGAATGTTATTATTCCCAGCTCCAGTAAAAGGTTTCCAATTGAATTCGTACTTTAGTATATATTTGTACATCCTCTGGTAAATAAAAACTAGCACTTCACGACACTGAAACGAACTGTTCCCACGGGTCCAAATGGACCCAGAATCCGCTGGACGAGGGTTAATTATTATATTTCAAATGATAACTGTACAATTGCACCCTGTTTCCAAATAATCGAGTCTAGTAAACACGGTTTTATGATGGAGATGCACGAGTCAGGAAGAAATGCACCACCGAGATCGCAAATGGTTTTCAGGCCGAAAATGGCGACGAGTCGTTTGCGTTCGCTCGCTTTGTCGCGTGCGTAACGCTTCGGTTTGCACGTAGGCTCGTGTGGGTACGCGTATCCATACAACACGCCGTTATTTTCGGACGCGAACGAAAATCAAAGGCACTAAAGCGACGTCGTCATCGCGGAAAAGGAAAAGACCAAGACCGGAGCAAGGACGCGGGGGCAAAGAGGATATACGCAAAAGTGCGAACTTTCAAATCGATAGAAAATTACACTGCGGTCTTCGCAAACGCGTGTAAATCATTTATTTGAGGACGAACGGATCGCAGAAGTAAATTAATCGTTCGCAAAAATTGACTCGCATCGATCGAAAGATCGCGAATTTTCTGACGTGCTGGAAAGAATGCGGCGAATGCAAATTATTCGAGCAAAGGGAACTTTCCGGGGCGATTCCGTGCAGGATTTCAACGTTCCAGAATCAGATAACCCGTTACGTGGCAATCGACGGCGATAAATTTCTAAAAATTGCGAATCTCGCGCTTAAATTGACAGCGACGTTTCGAAGTTTCTTCTGGCCGTGCTAGAGGGACCCTAGAGAAGATTTATCCCTGCTTCTCGACGTCCCAAGGACGGATAAACTAGCGCATGGCAATCGATGACGATGAATTCGGAAAATTGGGAAGTTTGCGTTCGGATTTACACCCACGCCCGGAACTTTTTCTTCGTTAACAACCCGAGTACGAAATCTTCCGGACTCCGATTTAACTGTAACTTTGTATAGGGGTAGATTACGAAACTCGATATATTTTTAGTTATTCTCATTTAAATCTTTCGAAGTTAGAGCGTTCGAGAAAATTATAGACGTTTATACGGATTCGTAAAGTTTAAAGAGTTTCGGAGGGCGTCGAACGAGCGCACGTGTCGCGCGAAGCTTCTATTTGCAAGGCGAGCTTTGGTGCGTAGTTGTCGACGATAAATCGGCGCGGATTCTGCACCCCGCGACTTGTTTATCGCGTCGCGTTGACGGAGACTACGTTTTCACGACGATTTTTATCCTCCCGTCCCGTGAAAAATGAATCAAAATGCGCGCCCTCCGCGGGAAACGAAAATCGCGTTAAAATCGTTGCGTTTAAATTAAAATTTCTATTCGTTATTACGAGTCCACAAATGGTACTTGTCCTGCACTTACTATTCCTATTCCGAGTTACATCGTCCACGTATCCAATCGTATTAACAAACACTATCAAACTTTTATACGTCACGTTGTTTCAAATGCACAGTCCTATAGTTCCTCAACAACCGACTCGTCCAAACGATCCGCAACAAGCACCATAATAGGTTGTGGGTACCCTTTTCTTACAAATCCTGATCTTAAAGTTAAATCGTGTTTGCTAGTTTTTCGATATACAATGTATAATCCCACGAAAGGAATATTATCGCGGTATGCTTTCGATGTAGACTTTCAGCAACAAGTACCATTACCGCGTTATAGGTTGTCGCGTATTAATTCCGTTCCCCCTAGATCATTCTAAGGATTTGCTACTTTTCCGACACGCAATCTCTATCGTGTCAAAGGTCTACCATGAACACGTTAATCATCGTCACGGACCGCTCTCGTTTCGCTCGACCACGATCAAGTTTCGTACTGGAAGCGAATCGCCGCTGAATAAAAGAAAAAGAACCGAGTCGCTGGAAAGTCCTCGATCACCGAATTTTCTGGCTACTTACTGACGACAGAGAGAGAGAGAGAGAAAGAGAGAAAAAGAGAGAGATAGTGTGTGCGTGTGTGGTTTCGAGCCGTTAGCCGATTTCCACGAGAAGGCGAGATCGACTTCCAGCCGCGGGTCGCGCGATCAGCTGATCCTCGCCGGTCGTTCCGGGGAGGAACGAACCGTTGGTGTTCCCGGTAGCGAATTAACCACCGGCGCGGTATTCCTCAGTCACTGATCCGATCGTTTCGATTACACAGGGTACGGGGTTAATCGGCGGTACGGCGGGCCTCGACACTGATCCGCTCGATCCGAGGATCTGGTAGCCTGCCAATGGGTTCTCTCGATGACCGAGCGCACTGTGCACCGTTCGACTCCAATCTTCCTTGGAATTTAACGCGCGACGCGACCAGGGAAACCGAGATGTCCAACGGCGAAGAAACAACCGACGCGACGGATAACCGAGATAAAATCAACGAGCACGAGATTGATACGAGGCACGGAGAATCGCCAGGGAGGGCCGTCGACGTCGGAACGACGGGTACGACGTCGGTCGTCGCGACGACACTGAGACGCCGGCCGTCGGGACGCGCGTATCTGGACGCGCGCCGAAGGCACCGCGCGGCGGCCAGGTACGGCACCCCAAACAGTTATTAATAGCCTCTGTCCTAGCTTACTAGATTTGCCCTCGAACCGACGCAACTTCTACACCCCTCCCCTCCTCCTCTCGACCAACGACCAACTCCTCCACCACCTCCTCCTCCTCCTTCACATCATCGTTTTCTGCCCGTCCCTCTCTCGAGAGCGCCGTGCTTACCCTCCCTCCTACGCCACTCTTCGACGCGATGCGTCCTCCGGCTCGCGGTCCTTTCTCGCGGATCGTGAGCCACGCTTTCTACAGGGTGTCCCACGCAACTGGCTAAACTTGCAACTCCACTTATACGAACCCAACCGAGCAGGTTCATACAATAGTCCAAAACCTTTAGTAAAACAGTAAAATCAAATAGTTTTATTCTAAAAGAAGAATTGTTCCTTATTTTTACTATCCAACCGGGGAACAGACAGTTCAAATAATCGAATAGGTTCGTACAATAGTCCACTACTATGAACAGAACCTTTAGTAAAACTGCAAAATTAAATAATCTTATTCTGGTAGAAGAATCGTATTACTATTTTTACTATCCAACCGGGGAACAGACAGTTCAAATAACCGAATAGGTTCGTACAATAGTCCACTACTATGGACAGAACCTTCAGTAAAACAGCAAAATTAGATAATTTTATTCTGGTAGAAGAATCGTTTTTCTATTTTTACTATCCAACCCGGGAACAGACTATTCAAATAACCGAATAAGTTCGTACAATAGTCCACTACTATGGACAGAACCTTTAGTAAAACAGCAAAATCAAATAGTTTTATTCTGGTAGAAGAATTGTTTCTCTTTTTACTATCCAACCGGGGAACAGACAGTTCAAATCACCGAATAGGTTCGTACAATAGTCCACTACTATGGACAGAACCTTTAGTAAAACAGCAAAATTAAATGATCTTATTCTGGTAGAAGAATTGTTCCTTATTTTTACTATTCAACCGGGAACAGACAGTTCAAATAACCGAATAGATTCGTACAATAATTCACTACTATGGACAGAACCTTTAGTAAAACAGCAAAATTAAATGATCTTATTCTGGAAGAAGAATCGTTTTTCCATTTTTGCTATCCAGAACAGGAAACGCATAGATCTAGAAAATATCCCTAAAATTGCACAATTTCGAAGTTGTTTTCAGTCGATGCCTCTATAGACATATTCTAGTTTTATCGTTGTTGTAGTTGTAAAGAAAATAGGCCGTTATTCGTCAGGTGTCAGAAGAGTGAAATTTTCGCTGCGACACCGGAGGATGGAGCCTAACAAGGGAATCCCAAGGGACGATCAGCAAATTGCGCGAAACTCGATAAAGAAGGCAATTCGGCACAATTGATTCTTCCCACGTTTTAATCCCCCGCGGAGGCTGCTGTCCTGCCCACCGCTTTCCGCGTCAATAAACCCGCGAAAAAACAATGGAGCCGAGTTTTTCGAAACGCTAAAAATAGTCTCGCATTGTGAATCAACGTTCGATTCTATAGAAGCTGAAAAAACACAGCTAAACGTTCGCGTAGCGGGCAAACAGGCGAATCGATTCGTCAAGCCTCGATATACTCGCCGAGAAAACAGGTACGAAAACAAAAATTGTTTCCTTACGCTCTAAAAAAAAATACTAGGAATCTTCCTACAACTGTTCTCTAATTTCAGCAAAAAAAGTCAAAAACTAGGCATCTGAGATGCCTGGAAATGTTTCACAATATTTTGCAACGTATAGATCTTCTGATATAAAGTTTGTATGCAGCGTTCGGTAACTCCTTTTTCCTATTAATTTCTTGAATAGGTAATCATTAATTGATTTTATATTGCAAAAGACCGGAATACTCAATCAGGGCTCGGTGGGATAGTTTTAAACTGGAAATCAGATTTTGATCTCTCGTAAGAAATTCTACATCTCAATTTAGTGTGGTGCGCCATTGGATGTTGTACGTCGCGTGTGATTTATGCATGGCGGTGCACCACCATATTTCAGCCAAGTAGCATGACAGTTCTTGAACAAACGATTTTCTAACGGATGGATTAGCCTTGCGAGGACCTATTGACCCGTTTGTCCCGCATATTTAAATCCGCTAAATTTTTAACATATCGTTTATTGGGTAAATCCGTAGAATAATTTATCAATAATTTCTCAACTCTGCCTCTGACGACTCTAAAAGTAATTTTCACCCCTTTACCACGCACGATTGCCGATACAAAAATACAAGTGATATATTTTCACGAGGGATTAAAAAAATTGTCTTTCCAATCTCTTTTGAATAAAATTTTAGAAGACATTATCGCGCAAGGGAAACAGAAAGCAGCCTAGTCGGTACCAGTAAACAGCAACAAGACCCAGAGCCTCGACGATTCGAAGAGCGTCGTTCCGCTCGCGAATACCAGGACCCCGGAAAACTCATCCCCCCATAAATTCCCGGAGAGTCGCGATACAAAAATACGAGTGAAATATTTTCACGAGGGATTAAAAAAATTGTCTTTCCAATCTCTTGTGAATAAAAATGTAGAAGACATTATCGCGCAAGGGAAACACAAAGCAGCCTAGTCGGTACCAGTAAACAGCAACAAGACCCAGAGCCTCGACGATTCGAAAAGCGTCGTTCCGCTCGCGAATACCAGGACCCCGGAAAACTCATCCCCCCATAAATTCCCGGAGAGTCGCGATCACGCGTCGCGGGGTTAAGCGTTCCAAAGACCCGACGACAACTCTTCCTCCCCGGAAACAAAGTAGGCAGACACTGGGGAAGGAATGGAAGGGGTGGCAGGGGGTGGATCAGGGGATGAGTCCCGACGCGGAGTCCGCAATAAGAAACGGACAGCGAGATGTCGGACGTTCGTAGGAGCGTGTTTTGCGGGCCGGTCCGCGTGGCTTGTTCCGCCGGACCGTGGAGGAAGAGGAACAAGAAGAGAGGGTGAGAAGAAGCGACGCCGGCGGCCGGAACAAGCGGAAGAAGAGAAAGAAAAAGAGCAAGACGGAAGGGGTGGCGAGCACGCGGCTGCTGGCGAAGCCGATCGATAGCCAAACTCCTCTACGGACGCCTAAGATAGACACTGACATAGACCTCCGCGTAGATGGAAACGCGTTATGCATGGACCACCCCATACAGACACGGTCCGCAATTTTTGATACGACCCTTCGCCTCTCTATATGCTTGGACGAGCACCCGACCGGTTCTCACAGATAAAACAGATTGGCTCACCTACCCCCGAATTCTCGGACACTTTTGGAACCGGGAATCCTTCGCGACGATACGACGTCTCCGTCGGAGGAATCTAGACGGAATATTCCATCAACCTGGACCGAACTTTTTCGAGCTTCCATTCAAATCGCGTTCTTTAAGATGCGAGTATGATTTTTCGCGAGAAGAATACTTTGGCGCGATACGGAGGGATGTCAGTCTAGAGAATAGAAAATAATAAGAAAACATTCTCAAGGCCATCGGAAGGTCGACTCCTATTTCTATGTTCAGAATTGAGAAGTAAAATGTTTCTGCAATCTGTCTGTGTTTTTGTATCTGACGAAGACCACCGGAAGGAGACATCGAAACGTTCGAAAATACTGATTTCCGATAAACGAAGCATTAAAGTTCGAACGTCTAAGGAGATTGATGCGTAAGGGAATAGAACGGACCAAAAATAAAGCGGACTCGATTCTGCTGACGTCCTGAAGATATACACGAGGATATTAAATCTCGACGAGTCTCGTAAATTGCAATCCGATCTTCCTAGACTTAAGGTGAGAATAAAATGGGATCAAATCTCTCGAAAGTTTCATAGTAATTTTCCGATCATCTATATTTTATTATTCGAGGTATCTATTTCTATTGTACTTTTTCATAATGCGATCGACTATCGTGCTATGAAGAGTATAAAAATATTCGAGACGTTGGTGATTTAAAAAAGGATCGGAATTTTCAATCGATTTTCCCGATTAAAATACGAGTCTTTGATCGATGCTGGCATTTGGTAAAATAGTTACGCGAATAATTTGGATTGCTCGCGATCTCTCAAGAATACATTTTCCCCCGGTGATCGAGGATCAGAGAGACAGGAATCGCGGCGGTAATGCACGCGGCCGACATATCGGAGCACACCACCCCAGAGTAAATATCGTGTTCGCCGCACTAATGACTGTTCTAAGTTTGCTGGAGACGAGGACGCGGGTTCCACGAGGACAACGAACCTCCTCTGGCTATATCCACGCGACATTTCACCGCCTAAGTGGGCTACGAAATTCCGGATCGTCGCGGCAAAAAGTTCTCGAGGCGACTCCCTAAGCGTACACCTAATTGTACCGAGTCGCAATAGGATCTTTGCTCCTTCGAGCCTTCTTTTCTCGATCGAATTCCTTCCAAGTAAGCGTTTACGCTTTGACAG